AGCCAAAGCAAGCAAGCTGACAAGAGTTGGAGTCCGCAGGTCTGCCAGGATCACAGCCAAACAAGGAACCACAAAGGGAGTCACTTTCGCACAGGAGTGTGCCACGAACAAAGGTCAGGAACCGGAGAAGAAGCCGCTTCAGTATGAGACAATGACGGCAAAGACAATGGCACAGTTCATTCATGAAATCGACCACGGAAGGATCAAAGATGACTCCGTGGAAGGAGCAAGTTATGCGCAGCAGCACTTGTTGCCCAAGGGATTGAAGATCTGGGGCGACAGGGCCAAGGAAGCAGCGCGGAAAGAGATGGACCAGCTGCACAGCCATGTGGCATTCGCACCCGTTCGACCAGAGGAGTGTAGCAAAACAGAGCTCAAGAAGTCGCAGGTGACACTTATGTTTGTTACAGAGAAGAGAGACGGGACCGTCAAGGCCCGAGCCGTTTTCAACAGGAAACCAACCAGAGCCTATCAGGACAAGGATGAGACCCGAAGCCCTACATTGTCGTTGGAAGGACTGATGCTTTCCATGTGTATTGACGCTAGTGAAGGGCGTGACGTTATGACTTTGGATGTACCGAATGCTTTCATCCAGACAGCATTGCCACAACCAAAGGATGGTAGTGACAGGGTGATCATGAAGATCGAAGGTACTCTTACAGAGCTACTCGTGGAAATCGACCCTGACACTTACAAGCCGTTCCTTGTCTATGAGAAGGGGAGACCAATCCTCTACGTTGTGGTATTGAAGGCACTTTATGGAATGCTCATTGCAAGTCTGCTTTGGTACAAGGCATTCCGCAAGTATTTGGAGTCCATTGGTTTTGAATTCAACCCCTACGATCCTTGTGTTGCCAACAGGATGGTGAATGGAAAGCAACAGACTATCCGTTTCCATGTCGACGACCTCATGTCCAGTCATATGATGGCCAAGGTGAATGATGATTTCCTGGCCTGGTGCAACGAGAAGTATGGTACCTACGGTGCTGTCAAAGCAACCAGAGGACCCAAACATGATTTCTCCGAGCCGGGCAAAGACAAGATCGACATGATTGACTATTTGACCAAGGTACTCGAGGAGTTCCCTGTGAACTTTGACCATGTCCGTTCTGTTCCGAGTGCAGCCCCAGCCGATTTGTTTTCTGTGGGTGACGGTGACAATCTGGACTATGAGACGAAGGATACCTTCCACACGAACACAGCCAAGCTACTCTTTGCCTGTAAACGTGCACGTCCAGATATGCAAACCTTGACTACCGTCCTTTGTACTCGAGTGAAGCAGCCAAACCAGAACGATTGGGGCAAACTTCTCCAAGGCCTCAAGTTTATTCAACAGACTTTGAATGACAAGCTCATCCTCCATGCTGACGACGTTCGAATTATCCGCTGGTGGGTGGATGCCAGCTTTGCTGTGCATCCAGACTACCGTTCCCATACTGGAGGAGTGCTCAGTTTCGGCTGCGGTGTCCCAATTACTGTGTCTAGTAAACAGAAACTCAACGCCCGAAGCAGTACCGATGCCGAGCTCATTGGAGCTGACGATGTTATGAGCCCTTTGTTGTGGACCAAGTTGTTTTTGGAAGCCCAAGGTGTTGATGTTCAGGAGAACATTCTTTACCAAGACAACAAAAGCGCTATCATTCTCGCTGAGAATGGTAAGAGCAGCTTCGGTAAGCGTACTCGTGCCCTTAATGTGCGTTTCTTCTTTATTCACGACCAAGTGAAGCAGGGAAATGTACGAGTGGTGTATTGTCCCACACAGGACATGCACGGGGACTTTCTCACGAAGCCCCTCCAAGGTGCCCTATTCCATGCACATCGCGCTTTCATTATGGTGAATCCCCCTATTTAGTTTAGTTTTAATCGTTTCGTGGATCCACTAGGGACCACGGCAGGAGTGTGTTGGCCGGTCTAGAAATTTAGCGGACCCGGATAACAAAAAGACCGCACCATCGTAGGATTTTAAGGAAACTGGCATTCTCAGAATCCAGATTTCAGAACAACCAGCCAGAAAGATCATTCTTTCGCCACAGCTCGCCCAAATCAACAGATTAACTTGATAATAGCTAGTAGCTACAGTGTTGCCTCACCAAACAACGTTTATCAGTGTTCTCGAAGGCTCGAGACACACTGTCATTGTAGGTGACCACCGTCTCCTTCACAACATCTACCGCATCGATGAGTTCCAATAAGGCACCTGAAATGAGCTTCACATCATGCCTCAAATCAGTGTCCTCGTCTCCTTCCCCAGCTGACATAAGCTTCAGCTGAGTCTTGGTGTGCGTGCCCACTGTGGAATGGTCGAAACATTCTCGCACATCGTCTTGATGAGCTCATAAGACTTTTTCATCTTAGCCGGGGTTTTCAGTACTCGTTCAGCTTCACGAAAAGACTGAAACGACCCTTTGTTCTCGCCAATGTCCGATGAAGAAGTCGCATTGGTCTCTTCTTCCTTAAGCCCACCGCTTGTGTTCAACAAGGCCCTCAGCACTACGACCTTATCCTGGTAGCCTTCCCAGTCATCCACGTTTGGAGGAACCTCAGAAGGTAGCTCTCCGAGAAGCTCTGAAGGCAAAGCAAAAGCTTGGTCTTTCTTCTTGGGCACTTGGATCAGAACTGTCATTCCCGGCTTCACTGAGAGCTTCTCATCTCGATGAGCGATAAAGTTGCAGTTCTCCTTCAAACACACCTTGGTCCTACCAGAGCTCCCTGATGAACGCCATCATACAACTCTCATGCAACATGAGTACAAAACGAGTCTTACCTGAAGCTTCAACACCAGAAGCACTGTCCGTAGCACTGGTACCACCACCAGAACCCCCCCCCGTCAACATTCGCACCACCAGAAGACGCGGAGAGAGTGCTAGAAAGCTCATATTCGGGGAAAGGAAACGTAGTTTTCATGGTGAGCGGCAAAACAAATCGAAATTTTCTTTGCAAAGGCTTGCAAGATGAGTAAGAGAGTGATCAATCTCACTTCTTCAACTTGAAACCTTGCAGGCTAGTCTTCCGTGGCTTCTGTGTCTCTTGCTTCAGTAAAGAGTGAGTACCTGGATAACATATAGCTCGCTTATAGCTCGCTTGGTAGTGAAGCGCCAGGTCAGAGATGCCAACCGGCGCAAATCTTGGATACTCTTGACTGAAATGACCTGAGTCCTTTCCCATTAACCTTATCTGCTTGGCTGATGGCAAGCCTGGAGGATTAGCCATTATTGCCTCACACCGGTCCCCGGTCTACCCTACTGTATTTTTTATAGTAAATCTTTTAAAAGATTTAAGGAAGGTGGAACGATCTTATTTTAAGATTCCCCCTCAGATTTAGAGGAGGCTTTTTTTAAAGAAATAAGGACGGCTACTCTTCCCAGTTCGGCTGCCCCCCCCCCGGCGAATTTCCATTATCCGTAGCCTTGCGGTGAATGGGCACCTACAAACTCTAGCCCATAGCCTCGCGGCGTTTGAGCGATCCCGCTGGGTGGAACCGGGCCGCTACAAACCCAACTACGACCTCCTTGCTTCCAAACTAGTCTCTATTGTATTTTTTGTTATATAGATCTAGAATTCTTTTGGATGTTATCTGGTATCCTGTTTTAGCGTGTATGGATAGGATAAGGAATATTTCGTATTCGTAGTCATATGTTTTTCCGTTTTCATCAAACGGGTTCATTCTTCAATCTTTGAAGTTTTCCTTGTGGACAAAAGGTCCTGTTTTTTATAAGAGTATTTAATTAAGGAGGTACCACCCGCTTTCGAGTCATGAGTTGGGACTACTAGTAAAATCGCGACAACAACAACAAAAAACCGATTTCGATCGTTGAATTGGACTGATCAGTAGAGCAGAAAAGAGACAAATTGTTAAGCCTTTGACCAATACAAAGAGTGCTGATAATATAACAAACAGGAGTACCCCATCTAGTTGGACCGCCGCTGGGGCTTAGACCGTGCAGCTCGCTGTTAACTCTGATAACAATCGACTGTTAAGTCTGGCTCTTCTGAGACCTATCGACCAAGGCACCAGGACCTCTGTCGAAACTCGAGTCGTGCTACCGATCGTCTCCTAAATCCTTTTGATCGTCTCCTATTTAATGGATTTCGTCTCCTAAAAATAGGAGACGAAACGGATCGTCTCTTAAATCTTTTGTCTCCTCTTAAATCGTCTCCTATTTCCAACGGATCGTCTCCTATTCTCAACGGATCGTCTCTTAAGTGCACCATGTAAACTGTATGGTATCGTCTCCTAAATCTTTCGGATCGTCTCCTATTTCGAAACGATCGTCTCCTAAATGGAATGTCTCCTAATGAATCGTCTCCTAAATATAGGAGACGATTGCTTTCGTCTCCTAAATCCTTTTGATCGTCTCCTATGCCTCGGTGTATCGTCTCCTAAGTATTTTGCCAGGAATGACGTTTCCACAGAGGTCCAGCAAACTAAGTCACTCCTTCTTAACATGTATGTTTAGAGGACTTAACTGTATGGTTGGTACTGTGAGAACTGAGTACAAAATGCGCAACAGCCAGTCCCAAAAGGAGCGATCGAAATTGCTTTTTTGTTGTTGCTGTCGCGATTTTCTCGCGATATTCTCAAATATAATTCTGTGAATCCCAACTCATGACTAAAAGAGGGTGGTACCTCCTTTTAAAATTAAGATGACCTGTTTCAGTAAAATTTACTTTTAAAATCCAGTCACTCTTTGCTAAAATCGGATGACTTTCTTTAGGATGATTTTTTAAAAACATAAATTTTTCGACCTGTATGACGTCATATTGCACCGGATGGTCTCAACTGCAGCCAAGCGCCGGCGAGGCCAGGAACCCTTTGGCGAGACCTCCATCATCATCATTCAAGTACGGTACCGATCGTATTAGCTAGTACAGAGCACAACCATACCACCTACCGGTACACTCACTTTCTGCTGCATCGACTGAAAAGCACACCATCAACAACAACACCACCAACAACAAAACAACGACTCCAGCTCTAGCTAAACAAAAGCGCAACTACAATGTCCACAGGAGGAGAAGCAAAGAAAGAGAAAGAGCGCGAACCCACCACACCTCTCAGTTTTGATGCCAGAGCGAAAGAGTTCCAAAATGCGCAAACCCTGCCCATTGTGGTAGCTTGTCGTGGCTTGGAAGCTTTGGTCAATGCCTTGTACAACCAAATTCAGTATTACCATGGGGATCCGTGGTCGAAATCAGCTAGCCAAGTGAGTGAAAATCAAACGGCAGATATACCAAGTCCATCGAAGAAGGCGAAGAGCGCAGGAGAAACAATTCCATGGGAGATGGACTTCGATTCAGGGAAAGCCACCAAGAACACTGAAACACAGCTCACGAAGATGTGGGGTAGCTTGCTCGATGAGAATCTATCGACTAGACAAGCCACAAGAAAGTCGACCCGACTAACGGGGGCACCACAGACTTCATCACAACCGGAAAGTCAAGTCTCAATGGGTAATTCCACGGCGACTTCAGCAGATTCTCAACCATTCTCCCAGGGCTCAGCAATGGGCGAAGAATTTGGAGGGAAGACTGTGCGGGAAGCCCTAGACTACCTGAGAGAAAAACGTGATCAAGCAAATGGTGACTTTGAGATCAAATATACACAATGGGTAGTGAACCGTCTCCTTGCCGCTGCACTGCCTAGCTTTCAAGAGCTGGCAAAGCGACCAGAAAATAGGTTGTGGTTATCTCCTCTAGTGAAGATGCAAGAAAAGATCACTATTGGTTTCTATGCGGAAACAGAGCATTCAAAGAAAGCAAGTGTGCGATGTCCTGGTGTGCGATGTCCTGATAGCGCCTTCTTTCTTCAAGGCACAGGAGATGACAGTTCAGGCTTCAATCGCGAGGTGTTAGGCTTTGCTAACCTGATCTGTTTCGAGCACAAAAGTTCTCTCAGCGGAAAACAAAGAAAAGGGATGCACTGTCAGAACTGACGAGAGATTATGTTCAGAAACTCCGTGCCGTCGACATACTTGGGCCGCAAATTGGATATGGCGTAGTTACGGATGGAATTGAGTGGTTTTTTGTCAAAATCGAGGCAAAGAGGGAAGACCGCAGTAGGGAAGTAGCTTCGTTCTTGGTTTATGAGTCGAAAACAGTGAATATCTACGATGGCAATGACTACGATTTCCAAGAGTTGGCCAAGTTTCTCATTTTCACATTCACTAAGAGCATTGTAGAGTCGAAACTTTCGAAATCGCCTTTCGTCAATATCCAAGATGAGGATGACAAGGAATTGTTGGAGAATATTCAGTTCGACAATACTCGTGGCTTCAAAATCACCAGGATTCTTGCAACGCAACGCTTCTTTGTGGCAAAAGCAACAAGCAGTGAACAGAAAGAAGTTGTCATGAAGATCATTTACAAACAAGCAGGAATCCGTGCCAAGCGAATGCTGGTCGAGCTTGACAACCTACGAAGCCTCAAAGACTGTCCAGCTGTTGTCCGCTTGGCTGCAGGATATGGTGATGATCAACCCATCGTTCCACCATTCTTGGTACTTGAAGACGCCGGGGAGCCTCTCGACAAGCTAGTTGTAAGTGGAAATGCAGGCAAAGAGCTTGCCAAAGTGGTAAAGCGAGATATTTGGGGAACAGCATTGGAAGCACTGCGATAACACAAGTTGGTGCATGCAGATTTGCATCCTGGGAACATTTGTGTCAGGGAATGCAACGGGGAACTCCAGGCTCTGGTTGTGGACTTGGAGTCGGCAGTGCTGGAAGGAAGCGAGTTAGCTGAAAGTCCAATCAAACATAGGGAAGACCTTCTACATAGTGGCCAGAAAGCACAGCTTAGAATGGATGAGAGTATGATCATTACAATTCTTCAGTCCCTGTGGCACAAGGGATCCTTTCATGAGTTGATACGATACGCAAAAGAGCTGGAAAAAATGCCAGATGAGGTTTTCTCAAAAGAAAGAGATCAGATACTGGGAATTATAATACAAGATTGTCACATTGGCACCTAATAATCATTTACAGGCTAGTACTCTAAGCTTCAACACATTGCTTATCGTGTCTTTAGAAGTTCCTTTTAAGACACTCAGTAATTACACAACCACAAAATAGACTTCTAGCTGCAACCGCTGTGACCACCATGTCTTTGTTGACAATGTTGCATAGGGGAGTATGCTGTAGATGTTGCTAGGAGTATGACAAAGTGGCCATCTATGGAGGAGGGAGGTGTGTCAACAAAAAGATGAGGTTGCTTCCACAAATTTGGTGGAGGTGTTGTTGTGTGGGGATGGAAGCTGGTCGAGCGGATCTTGGAAGCCGGTCCAGCCAGTGCTGGTTTTGAGAAGCTGTTTTCGGTGGTATTCTGTGCCCAAGGTCAACTTTACCTGTCTAATTTTACTTTACCAGTTTCGCAGCTGGTAGTATGTAGTAGAACTCAGTGCCAAGTGCGAGATTGAACGAACAACCAATCGTCATCAGGTGCGGTCTGCGAAACGAAGTATTGTCCACATCGCATTAGAATAAGAGTTAGTTCCAACGATGGCCCAGATCGTGCTGCAATTCGACGATCAAGCCGCTATGGAATTCTATGGATCTAGCTAGGGAGATCTTCAATAGCACAACCAGTTGGATGTTAAGTTAAATCAGGACGTTCGGGTTGAGTGAGACGGTTACATTCAAGTTCGTTGAGTAAGTATAAAAATATGGCATAGCCCGCTGTACCTTGCAACAACAGCCACTCCAAGCAGGATAAAAGGGGTGGCTAATTAACTGGAGGTGTCCTTTTTCTCTTGTTTTTGACCTTCTGCCATTGATGATGGTGGTGGAAGCCATTCCTAAGGCCCAGACCAAAGCCCAGACATGTAATACAAGAGGAATCACCGCAGAGGTACTTCTGTGGGAGTTCCTACCGGTAGCCCCACTATTAGACCATCGAATCGAAGCAGTGCTGATAGATAAGCGGTGCGACGGAAGAATCCGACACACAAGATGAGAGTTGCGTCCATCGACGAAGCAGTGCATTCGATTGAATTTGCGAGAAGAAACAAGAGAAGAGCAGCGAGACAACCACAGCGATCGATCGAACGACTACCGCTACTGCTGCTACCACTTTGGGGACAACAGGAAGTCGGCCATTGGCTTCGGATTGATTTTGTTGGCGTGTCGGGATCGAACAGCGCAGCAATTGCCGCCCATTAGTGTAGCTAGCCAGATAGATAGATCTGGTAGAAAGATTACCGGATAAGGATTTCTCGTAGGCTGTTACCAATAGATGCATCATGGTCTACCTCTGCCAATGCCAATGCTTTTTGGTATGGCGATCCATAAAGAAAGATATTGAGAATTAGAGAAAGCTGAAAAGAATTAGAAAGTGCTGTTGGAAGCTTTAATTGGAGGTTCCTTAAGTCTTCAGCGGTAAAGTTTACCTGTCTTCCCGCTGGTAGCATAGCTAGCTAGCTAGCTAGTCGAGTTGAAACGTTAGTTCCGTGTCGAGTCCCGTGACTCACGACCCAACCAAAAGAACCAGACCAAAATTCCAAGGGCAGCTTTCAAGCGAACTACAAAAACTCGAGCGGAGGCTCCTCCAGTGTCAGGTACTCGTCGCTCGGCTCGATCAATAGTCGGTCCTTGGACGTGCACAGCTTGCACGTACATCAATAAAGTACGAACAAATTCAAGGGCGAAGTCTGAGATCTGCCTGTAATACCGAAAGAATGTGAGGAGGGTACAGGCCGCCATGGTCCCATACCTTCCAGCATTGAAGTGTTTTCAGAAGAGATGATTGTGATGGAAACGCGGTGGCGGTGGACTAGTTTTCATTGTTTACCGGTCGTGATACATTCAATAGTTTTCTGTTTCGTAAATCAGATTTGAAACGTATCGTATCATAGTTAGTACCAATGTGCCGTAGTACAAGATATACCGGTAGCATGAAAGTGGCAGCGTGCCTCTGCACTCTCTGTTTGGTATGTTTTGTCAGTGCCTGCTTACCCCCACGGTTTCCGATAGCCGTTTTCATCTTCGTGATCGTATAGACACAGGAACTCGTTTGCAGCTTGTAGCACCTTTGAGGCAGCACTCCCCAGGGGGGGAAGCCGAGGGAATGTTTGGACCGCACTCTACCGGTAGATGACCTGGGCAGTTCACAAGGATTCTAGCTAGTGCACCAACCCAGAGCATTTGGAACCCAAACACTGAAGTCAGCAGCCAGGTTGGGATGGGTGGGTATCTCGCGAAGAGGCAACAATGTCATCTTCCTTTGGCTGCTGACTGCTAAGGGCATTGAGTGGAGACTGGCTGGCTCTGGGTTGGCCCCTGCTTGTGACTGATCCCTGGCAACCGTGGCCAGCTCTATCTTGCAATGGCAATCAGTCTAAGACAACAGTGTGTGTGAGTCCCCTACACTGTCACGGCCGGGGTGAGATTTTCCAAACTCTCCTAAAAGCTCAGCTTTTAGCTTGGGGGTTGGGCCAAGAGCTGAGCCAACCCAAGAGTCGACAGTAGAGCATCATCTGTACACCTCGAGGAAACCGTGGACACCCTAGTAGCTAAACAGAGTACATACACGTATGCAGCGCGGAGAACTGCCGCAGCTCAAAAAGGGCGCGGTGGAGAATTCTCTGGTTCCCTCTTCTTCACTCGACTGAGTCACTCGACTCTCTCCCACCCAGCTGCTCCCTTCGCCGATCAGTTGGCTTGAATAATCTCAATATCCACGTCGACTTTCCACCATTTGCAAACATCCACGATGACATCTTCAACCAATCAGATTGCTCCCTGAGAGGTATCTTTCCACGGGTGTTGACGTCAGAGACAAATCTTACGTTCTTCAACTTACAATCAGTCCGTTGCAGCATGTCTTTGCTGAGTGAGTGCGGTCATCAGGTTGAAGTCCTTCGACAGGGTTGACCTCGGGTTGTGTGTGCGTGGGTGCTTGCTGTCACCATCATCATTCGACATTCCCACTTTTCGTTGATCGATCAGAAATTTCAGTTGTAATCAAGATGATGAAGTCTGTTGCTTTCCTTGTGGCTTTGTTGGCTGTTGCCAGCGCATTTGCTCCCAACAATGCTAGCCCCCGAACCAGTGTTGCCGTGAACTCTCTGTTCGACGATGTAAGTTTAATTTGCTCAACTTCATTCTGAGCCAGGACTCTTCTGCCATTTCCCAAGTACGCACGCGCAAGGAAGCAACATGTCGACTCATCTGCATCCCTCTTTTCTTCTCTTTCTTCTGATCGTCAACATGGATCTCTGGAAAGACCAGTCGGACCGAAACAAATACGGAGCCCGTGCTTCCAAGAACCTTACCCCCAAGGACATTGGTTCTGGAGGATACGTTCCCGATGGTTTGTCTGCATCTGAATACAACTCCATCCGAAAGAACGAGGCCGCCAAGAAGGCCGCCAACTACCAACGCAATGTTGCCAAGGCCGGCAAGTCCAAGACTCACTGACTTCTACTCAGGCGAGGAACCTCCGAGGGAGGCAGCTGGTTGAAGGAAAGATGGACGTGGACACGATTTCGTCAAGACCAAAGTACGACTGGTCCGGAAATCCATCGAGCAACAAGCCCTTCTATCGAGGGACTTAATTCTCTATGATGCTACTCCAAAACCAAAACTATTCCCCTTGAAATGGATTCGTTTTGATTCCAATAGACTACTTAATTGTATAGAACATTTTCTAGGAAGCGAGGTATGCGACTGTAGACTCTGATAGGGTGTTCAAGAGAGAGCTGTTTCGAATGTGTTGGTGCAGTCGAGTCGATACTTGCTTTATGACGACGGGGTCATCATCCAGGACGAGTGATTGGGTCTACTACCCCTGGTTTCTCTATCAGCAGGACGCATCATCCAGGACGATTGGGGCTGCTTCCCGTCGTTCTTCATCCACAAGCGGTGTGTCCTGCTGCGTAGACAGTGTTGGTCCTAGGGTTGGCTGGTCCGGGGAGGGGGTCCTGCAGTCAGTCAGTTGTTGCCTCGCAATCAATTTTTTTGCAAAAGGATTACTCGTCTTTTCGCTTGGTTTGTTACCGTAGATTATGGCGTGGACAATGTTCTCTACCAGCTCGAGCTAGCTAGCTAGATGTCCTCATGAAAGCTCAGTACCCTTGTTCGTGAAGGCTCAGTCTTCCTAGACTCTTCCCAAATGATGTTTTTCATCCAGACCCAACTCTCCATTGCCCTTGTTCGAGGAGCCACTCATTTATGGCTGTCTCAGTGGATCCAGCTAACTCAAGCCCTTACTAGGCCCCCATTTTGGTCCTCAATTTGTAGCCCCTGATCCCACTGAACCAAGAAGCCGAATGCCACCTCTTCTTTGCCTAACCTGGCCCCCTCCTCCATAGGAGTCAGTCCATAACTAAACTACCAAATCAAAACCTCGGTGCCGTGCCCTTTTGCATGTATCTCCGCCCTTGTTCCCAACCAAGAGGACCACGACGATTCGATGTGCGATTCAAATCAATTCGAATTGCTTCGACTCCCACTAACCATCGACTTGGGACTGGGTTCAAAAAAGAATTCGAAGCAAATCGAACTGTCTCGATTATCATTCACGCTAAACCTCGGCTGGGACTCGCTCGTCGATTAGTTCTTCGAAAGTGATCGATTGTTCTCCGTGGCATTGGCACACAACCTGCCCGGCTCCACGATCCACAGCGCCGCGATTCTGTAGAATCTACAGAGCTTTGGTACGGAGATCTTTCGGTGGCCTTCGTCGTGCATCGTCTTGCCTTCGTCGGGGAATTCCAATCGTGTGACAGCGTAGAAAGTGTACCAACTCAAACTGGGTTTTCGTCCCCACCAGGGTTCTTGCCACCCAATGAAGAAAGATCGTCCAAAGTCTCATAAAACCAAAAACCAATTTCTCGCATTGCTTTGAAAAATTCTTTGCCTTTCTTTTGATTTTTTGATACAAAACTATTGCCACAATGGTGAGTTATCTTGGGGGCTGGTCTTCTGTATCGGGCGTGTATGTTGTATCAGTGGTGGCAGGTGTCCTTGGCGTTGGCGAGGAGGGGCAGACTGATTTTTGACACGATGAACAATCGGAACGTGTTTGATCTGATTAATCTATTCCGATGACCAATGACCACTCACCTGTTGCTTATCTTTCTCTTCACTTGTTTAGTCCGCTGAAGCCGAAAGCTATGCCTTTTCCGCTGATATCAATCAGCTCCTTTCGTTGATTATCAACACTTTCTATTCCAACAAGGAGATTTTCCTTCGTGAATTGATTTCCAATGCCAGTGATGCTTTGGATAAGATCCGCTACCAGTCCTTGACTGACTCTTCCGTCCTCGATGCCGAACCAGAGATGGAAATTCGGCTGATCGCCGACAAGGCCAACAACACTTTGACCATTGAGGATACCGGTATCGGTATGGCCAAGAGCGACTTGGTACGTTTCGATTATTATTATACCCAAATTCCTTTTCTCGGCAATGACCATGATAACTCACGACCCGCATTTATTCAATCAATCACTATAGGTCAACAATCTCGGAACTATTGCCAAGTCCGGAACCAAGGCATTCATGGAGGCATTGACTGCTGGAGCCGATATCAGTATGATTGGTCAATTCGGTGTCGGATTTTATTCCGCTTACCTGGTTGCCGACAAGGTCGAAGTCGCTCTCCAAGAACAACTCGGACCCTGATATCCACCTTTGGTCGTCCGAAGCCGGTGGTTCTTTCACCATTAACAAAGCCCCCGATGCTGGAATCAAGCGTGGAACCCGCATTGTTCTTAGCATGAAGGAGGACATGTCCGAGTACTTGGAAGAGCGTCGCCTCAAGGTATGTTAGTCATGAGACCATTCGGAAAATTTCGTCCTTTGTGCCACTCCAACTCACCACCATTATTTTTTTGCTCAACAGGATTTGGTCAAGAAGCACTCTGAATTCATTGGATTCCCCATCAAGCTTTACACTGAAAAGACCACCGAAAAGGAGGTCACCGACGATGATGACGACGAAGAGGAAGAGGGCGATGACGACAAGCCCAAGGTCGAAGAGGTTGATGATGAGGAAGAAGCCAAGAAGGAAAAGAGACCAAAAGATCAAGGAAGTCTCTCACGAATGGGAGCATCTCAACAACATGAAGCCGATTTGGATGCGAAAGCCCGATGAGGTCACTCACGATGAATACGTTGCCTTCTACAAGTCCATCTCCAATGACTGGGAAGAACACGCCGCCGTCAAGCACTTTTCCGTGGAAGGTCAGCTCGAATTCAAGGCCATTCTCTTCTGCCCCAAGCGTGCTCCATTTGACATGTTCGAGGGAGGCGGGGAAAAGAGAGAATGGAAGAGAAGCAAGGTCTCCACAGCAAGTCAACAAGTCCATAGGATGGATCCGCATCCACAACAATGATTTTGAGCATCCGAAGCGAACACGTTGTCGCGATTGTTGTCCTGGTACAGCGTACTGTACCGCTTCATTACGCGACTAAAATTGCTTCTTCATTCGTGCTTTTCTAAGTCTACACCTCGCCCTAACCCTTTTGCACTTTCGAATACGGCTCAAAATGTGTTTTATTCTCGCGCTCGTGATACCGGAATGAGGTACAGTCGTACAGCCGCAGAGTGTGCAAGTGATGAATGATCCTTACATGTTGACCACCCTTGAATGCTGGATCTCTGAAGCTTTTAAAATTCGTACGGTGCGGTGCGGTGCGGTGCGGTGCGGTGCGCAGGTAAAAAAATCGTCAACGAAAATTCTTTGCAAAGTACTAAAAGACTGTCCACGATAATTCTGAAGTAATATTAATACAACACTAAAAGTGTTCGTGGGAAGTGTTCAGGAGAAGTGATCGGGAGCAGTGTTTGAGAGAAGTGAAACCAAATTTGCAGAGGAATGCGATTCTCGGCTTGCCTTTTGATCAAAACCGGTAACCACGAGCGGTCTCCACACACCCGACGAACATTTGGTATTCGAGAAATCACGAAAGCCCCTGAATGGCAACGGAGGGACGTCTCCAACAAACAAAAAGAAAACTTGAAAAGACAGCAGATTGCCCACCGAGGCACCTTTCAAGCTTTCCACGGCAAAGTCACTGTTCGTTGAGGTCTCGAGTGATTGCAGAAAGCTCACCCGTCCATTGCAAAACCAGCTTGGAGGTCCTTACAGCCGGGTGGATCCATGGCCGCGAAGTGAAGGCAGAAGGAGTCGCCGGCGGTAGGGTGCGCCTCGCCCCTGGGTTACCGCGAGTCAGGGGGAGACTATCGCGAAGCTCAAGAATTTCTTGGACGCGCTTGGACTTACAAATAGACCAGGGGCTGATGCCGGATAGCTTATTTCATTATCGTCTTCGCATAATTAGCTACTGATAAATCAGCAAACGGCAGCAATGCACGTTAGCAATGCGATAGAAAAAAGATAGGCCAGAAATACCCGACCGTTCCCTGCCTGGAAGGGAAGGCACCCCAGCAGCAAACGTCTTTGTTAGCAAGGATGCCATAGAAAAGAGATGGGCCAGAAATACCCGACCGTTCCCTGCCTGGAAGGGAAGGCACCCCAGCAGCAAACGTCTTTTCTCTATTCCCTTCCTGGAAAGGAAGGCGTGGAGACGGTTGATGCCCTGTGGAGACCGAACATCAACAACCAGAGCAATTGCAAGCAACCTCCCAGCGACCGTCCGCAGGAGGCGAGGAGCAACACAAGGAGACAGACCAGGAAATAAGCAAAAAACAGCAAATCAAAAAGTTCTGCTAGTAGCGAATTACAAATTGGATTGAGAGACCCTAACGGCCCAACCCACAAGGCTCCTTCTCTTCCATCTAAAATGTATTTGATGTATTTGATCAGTTGCTGTTGTTGTGTCTAATCGATTTTTAGTCAACTTGTTCCATGGCGGATTCTTCGTTGTCGTCGTCGCCATCAAGAGGAGGCAAGTCATCGATGTCGGCATCGTCGTCGCCATCATCATCGTCGTCAATGGAAAGACCCAACTTGACCAAACGGTGGATACGACTGGCAAAGGTACTGGGCTCATCCAAGGAGAAACCAGAGGTGAGCAAAGATGTGTCGTAAAGGAGCCAAATCAAGTCCTTAACAGTCTTGTCGCTTTGGTCGGCGTCGGCCTTTTCACGGAGGGCCACAATGATGGGGTTCTGTGGGTTGATCTCCATGGTCTTCTTGGCGGACATGTAGGCAGATTGAGATGAGTCACGGAGAGCTTGCGCCTTCATGATACGTTCCATGTTAGCAGACCATCCAAACTCGCCCGTGACGAGAACACAAGGAGAGTCAGCAAGACGGTTGGAAACAACAACCTTCTCAACCTTGTCATCAAGGACTTCCTTCATGAGCTTGCAAAGACCCTCGGCCTTGCCCTTGGCTTCCTCAAAGGCGGCCTTCTCTTCTTCGTCCTCAGCCAACTCGAGGCCTTCCTTGGTAGCACTGAGAAGCTTCTTGCCTTCAAATTCCTTCAATTGTTGGACGGCATATTCATCAATGGGGTCAACCATGAACAAGACTTCGTATCCCTTCTTACGGAGCTTCTCAAGGAATGGAGAGGACTCGACAGCCTTCTTGGATTCACCAGTGACGTAGTAGATTCCGGGCTGCTTGTCGTCCATGCGGCTAACGTAGTCGTCGAGGCTGGTCATCTCGTCTCCGCTGGTGGTGGAGTGGTATCGCAACAACTTGGCCAACTTGGCACGGTTGGTGGAATCCTCGTGGATACCGAGCTTCAAGTTCTTGCAGAAGGCTTCGTAGAACTTCTTGTAGGTGTCTTCGTTTTCTTGCAATCCGGTGAACATTTCAATGCACTTCTTGACAAGATTCTTCTTGATGACCTTCAAAATCTTGTTTTGTTGAAGAGTCTCACGAGAAATGTTCAATGGCAAATCCTCCGAATCCACAACACCCTTGACGAACTGCAACCACTCCGGCATGATATCTTCGCAGTTGTCCATGATGAAAACACGACGGACGTAAAGCTTGATGTGGTTGTGCTTCTTCTTGTT